CCAATGCAGTCTGACTCTCAGTCCGCCAGTCGGAAACTCAACACACAAACATACGCTGGGGTGACTGCGGGTTTGAGTTGAATTATCAGTTGGCCACCCCCCAAGCCACGACTTCTTGCTCGGTGTGATAGGTTCGGTGTGATCGCCTCCAGATTTGTGAAGACCGACCGTTGATTAGTCCTATCGCCTCAGAAATGCCACTTTTGCCGTTCCTTCTGCTGCCGTGAGTACCAGAAGTGTCCATGATGTCAACGTTTGGCCTGCTCTCTGCCCATATGGTTTTGTTCGATAGATGATGGATCCCCGGTAGCTTGCAAACCTTTGGCACAATCGAAAGCATAGCTTGCATTCCAAAATATACAGTTCTTTTTTGGGAGTTAAAGATAGGGGAATATCGATGACTCGCCCTCGGTGCGGGGATGTTTCCCTCCCAATGTTTGGAATCGAGCAGCTCCATTTGGTTGCCTTTGACAGGATTTGCTATCCACACCGATCTCGAGCCCCCTACTAGGTGAGCTAAGAAACAGCCGAGTTATTCAACTGGGCTTTTCGCCACGGATGCAATGACGAGGTTTGGTCTTGTTATTTAATTTTACACACTTGAATCCTTCCCTGGTAAAATGAATGTAGTAGCGAACGCTTTCAGTGAATAGCCGGTTCTGTTGATCGGGCTCCAGCTTATGTTGTCGTTTGCCCCTTACAAAGCCTCCATACCACCAATAAATTCGGATATCAAGAGTGGAGTTCCAACCCTTCACGAGATGACCAGACGAATTGAGCTTTCTTGACGAGTGTTCATTATGGGACACCAACCTACTCTTTCCACCTTGAAGACGAGTCTCACTTTAAGGTCAGTTTCGCATGTATGTAAGGGCCAGCACTCATATGGCACGTGTGAACTTGGATCTGGCCTCACTACTTTCGCACCCGTCTCTAGCCGTTCAAATGCTACTTTGCTATTGTAACAGGGCATATGTGAGAGAAAGTAACTACTACGCTTGTCTCGCTCATTTAACATCGCGTCCTCCGGAATCGAGCTGATTTTCGTCGTCTGCGACGGTCGAACCATGACAGTCCATGCTCTCACTGGCATGCAGCCCATGATATTAAGAGGTCATTTAGCCATAGAGGTGTCATAGCGAGTAGTCACTGTTTTTTTCAGTTCTTGGACTCAGCCTCTCTGTCCATCGGTTTGACGCACAGCATAGAGATTTCAATAGTAAAATGTAGAGTCTGCTTTGAGTTCCTGCTTTCTGGGTACCCATCCTGATCATATACAATCAGACGCGCAATTAACGGCCTTCAACCACCAAAATACACTTAACACCTGACATCAGTGACAGCAGCCCAATACTTTTAACCAGTTGTTCATACTATGAGCGGTGCTTCCGACGCCACCTTCACCTGTAGAAGCATGTACACTGATAACCTTTTGATGTTCACGAATGACTTCTACCCCAAACCCCCTATTCTTCCTTCGGGAAAAAGAAACCATTTATAGCAATTTATTCCTCTAGTGCCCGTGGCTCAAACCTGCATATAAATGGATATTGTGACTGGATTCACACACGCCGACCCCTGCTGCCGACTTCATCCCCATCCCCTACTACTATTGTATTCCTGGGCGTGCTCCCGCTGTTCCACCTCCACACAGAGTAATAGTCATTAGCTACCACCTCCTACCCAACAAATATGACGAACCTAGTCTTGAGGCGTGCTTTCAGTTCATTGAGCCACGCTAGTTCCACTATGTGTGTATACCGCCCTTCTTAGGACAATTGTTCATAACTCACGGAGTCAACCCTACCGGTGCCTGGTCAACTCATTCGTGAGCTCACTCTAGTTTGGTTTGTGTCAACTTTTCTCAGGATTTCCCATTGATTTGATTCTTTCCTGAATGGGATTTGCGATTTTTTCTGATGACTGACCGGTTCCGCTTCCATCAGTTGGAACCACCACAGAGTTGACACGTCAGGCCAATCATCCCAGGCTCATTCCAGGTTAGCTGGAGTCCAATCCCGTTTGTTTTGTAGCTTTCTTCATCCACTGTGGAGCCCGTTATGCTGTTAACTCTTTTATATTGTTTCCTTTCAAAAATTTGTTGACCCCGAAGGTGTTCTTTCGAATACGACAAATTTCTTTCGATAAATCAGCCTTTGGAGATATTTGTCATTCTCGTTTCAGTCATCTTCCCTTCTCTAGCGCACGTATCCGCTGCAAAAGCCCTATCGGTTTCTTATTGTCTACTCCACAGGGTCACAGCTACCGTGGCGTCAGTTTCCGCGTGGATCGTGTGCTCATAAACGTGACCGAGAGGGACTGCCGACCCGTACCCATTCCCTATCGGCGTCCAGTAGAACGGAATGCCGGAGCAAACCTGCCGCCGACGCCCTCTGCCCTGCCCCGTACGATCCAGTTGCGACCTGAAGGAAGGGATTTGCCACCACTGGAGCGTGGATCCTACGCAATCCACAATCCCTTCTGTTCAGAGAATGTCGATGTAACCAACTTCCTGAACCTTAATTCCTACGTCAACCACGATGACTTCTGCCTGGCCTACGTATTCACCTACCGGGACTTTTCCGGTGGCACTCTCGGCCTGGCCTGGGTTGCTGAGCCCGGTGGCTCTGGAGGCATTTGCGAAAAACATCGTCTCATGCGGGAGGGCAGCCAGACAGTCCGCAAGAGTTTAAACACCGGGGTTGTCACCCTGCTTAATTACGGAACTCGTGTGAGCTGGTGTACCTCTTTTTTGCGCTTAACTTATTTTTTTGCACGGCTCCTTTCTGCTCCCTGTTTGGTTGAGTTGTCATTCGGGGAAGAACAAAGGAGCAACATCAATGGGATAGTTTGCATAAAAAGTTCCAACTGGATGGTTGAATTCTACTCAATCAGCCGGGTAAACAGACCCCAACAGGACGAGCGTGGATTCCTACTTTACGTTTTTTCGTTGTTTACTCTGCTGACTATAGCGACCACATTGTGGTCACTGCTTGGAATGGCTCACAAAAATAGGTAAAGTACAGTAGATGCGCTGTCTCATAAAATGACAACCGGAATTCTGAAATGTGTTTTCGACTCAACAGATTGCATATGTGGGTTTGTTATATTAGTCATTATACAACATGATCCCGTGTAATTTCGGTCACGTCAGCATCTCGGCTTTTAAACAAGCTTCTTTCTGGCTGCCTGCAAAAATTGCACCCTGTAAAAAATGACTACCTGGGTACGGATTTAATATCAAATCATATCTTTTCCTAATGTTATACTAAAAGAAAGGTTATCTTTCAGTTTTAAGTTCCTAATTATGAAGTCCTTTAACACCGCATGAAATCACACAGATTTGCAAAGCTGACTTTGTAAAATCGATAAAACATCTGGTTTTCCAAAAATAACCAATTTTCTTACACCTTGCTTCATCTGATTTACGTGCTGGAAAAAACCAATTTTAAGGTGTGGTAAGCTCCATTTCCTTAAAACTGTCGAGTTTAGATTACTCTCTCCTCGTAGAACAACATACGCAGATGTGCAGACTTGGTCTGGGATAGTTATTAGCATAGGAAACTGCCGGTACTACACGGTAACATAGATTTCCGCTCAAATTTGCAAACATAAGCCCACTATCTATGCAAAAAGGACATTTTTCGGAAGAGACTAGGCGAATAAGTAAAACGCGCAGCACTTTTTTACTCATAGCTGATCACCCCAATCTCCGTTATCATGTTTCATAAGTTAGGGCACATACTGTCTATGTGTTGGGTTAGCCGTGCATTTGAAGAAGTATGCTTTGGTAGTGTCATTGATCTGCCGTTTGTGACCATTGGGCTACAGCGTGTTTCGCCTCTCCGAAGGCATGGCGCAGACAGGACTGCATTTATTCGCAATTAGGCGATTGTTGCCCAACCTTGAACTTTGCCTCCTGTTTCTAGCCTTACTGAGCGCTTTCGTTTGCAGTTCGACGTTTGCAGGTCCAAACGACCAGCTTGTTTTTCGTCCCCCTCTCCATCGTTAATTGCGTCTTTTGGCCACACTAATTTAACATGTGATGAACCTTGATGAACCTAGATCTAACGGTATGAAGAGCACTAGCCAAAAGTCGAAGAAGTGCGTAGTTTTGGCGCTGGACTGGAGCCATTGTCTAATTCAAGTGGGTTTACGGGATGAACAATTTAATCCTGCTTGAGTGCAACCCAGCCGTTTTTACTGAAGGCTCTGCCCTCTCACCAAATAGGTATCCATGAAGATCTCCCAACTCACGTTTGCCCACGAAATGGGCCACAATCTCGGTGCCAAGCACGACGACGATTTCAAAGAGGACTTTCCTTCCTGTCTGCCCTCCGTCGATGATCCGAAGGGCAATTACATCATGTTTGCCAGTGCAACAGGTGGGGACAAGGAGAATAACAATAAATTCTCAAACTGCTCCCTGAACTCGATTGCACGCCTTCTCACCCACGTGTTAAAGGTCAGTCTTTTCCCGCTTTATATCTCCCTACACTATATTTTCTCTTGTATTAATGATCAGCCCTCTTTAGCATTTCGTTGCCTCTAGCATGTGTGTGTATCCTGTTTTCTGCTTTCACAAACCCTCCCTCTTTCCCTCCCTTTCCTAATTCCCGTCTTGATGGCTCAGAGTGAGTCCAACTGTTTCCTGACCTCAAACGGCTCCTTTTGCGGCAACCGACTGACGGAGGATGGAGAGCAGTGCGACTGTGGTTACACGCGCGACGACTGCGATGATGTGTGCTGCCATCCAAAGGAATCCACCACGCCCTGCAACCTCACTAAGTCTATCACAGTGGACAACACTACTCTGAAGGTATACCTGGTCCTGTGAAGATGCCGCTTCATTTCTTTCCTGGCTCTTACGTCTACGCGCAAAACTAATTACCGACCTGCGCCTTGGTTATTGACTGCGGTTATTGAACTAACGACCGGGTCCGTGCGTTGTTCCTTTTTTCGTGGGTCATATCATTTTTGTACCACGTTCTCCCTGCTCTGCGGCCTCATCTCTTCTGGCCACAGGGCTTCCATGGACCGGTTGCTTTTTGGTCTGTCCCCTGGGCCATATTTGACAGGCTTGACCGGGCCTACGGGCATAGTTGACGCAAGGTTATCCCGGGTGCTGCTAAAACTATTGCACGGCTAGCTTGACCTTTACGATGAAGTGCCTAAAGTGGATAAATAACTGCCAGCTGTTGTCGCATGCCTTCCATCCGCTTATAATTAAAACAACCACTTATTAAGAAGGTCAGAGAACCACTGCGTGTTCAACGCAGTCCGTTTAAATTGATTTGTCAATTCACTATTCCAGAGGCTAATCTACAACTGTACCGGCTTAGACACGGAAATACGGGCTACTCGCACTACAGGTGGCTTTCCGCCAAATTCCAATGGTGGGCATCTACTCCCATATCCTAGCTTTGACCCTAACCCCCCCCCCGCGATTTAGCAGGATGCCACCTGCAATACGCGAGGTACTTATTCCCGTGCCTTACCCTGTAATGTGCGTCGGAACGCATGTAACACCGGGTAAAATCCCCAAACAGGCCCCTGGAGCCTTCTCAACGTATTGCATACTAGCGTTGCTGTGGCTCAATCTGATGAAATGAAAAAGAAAGAGGAAGAGGCACTTTTCTAGTATGTTTAATTTTATAAGGCTTGTGGGTATACAATATTTTTTGTCATTGCATTGTGCAGACATAGATATTGTCTGGTTTGCCGACTCTGGAGCACACATCATACAGTTGGTCATGTGAGAAACAATCCGTTTGCAGATCCAAACCGCACAATTTTAAAGATTGACCCTGAGCTCTGTTGATGGGGATTGCAAACGCCAATCGAATTGCGGATTGCCGTCTCCTAGATTGAAATGGCATATCAGTTGGAGTCGGTGGAATTCGAGGAATAAGGACATGTTCACCTCTGAAGCCTTCTGTCAAGATAGTTGCTCCCACGACGTTGCACATAGATTTTTTCACTGAAAGCCGCGTTCTGTTGCAAAAACTTGGGCTGGTTGATATTTCGCAGCACGATAGTTGGCACGTCGATTTTCAATTGCAGTACGTGCGGTGACATCTCTAGCAGGTCAAGTGAATCCAAAAAGTCTGTTGGATAATTAACTACCTCGTCTGCTCTCATAACAATGTCGACGGACGTGTATGTGACTGCCTCCACTTGAAACTTAGGCTGAATAATATGGTTAAGTTGGTAGACACCTTTGTTCTTTACCGCAAGAATAGCTTGCTCGCTCAGTTAATCGTGTTTCGTATAATTGGTTTGAATATTGGGAAATACGTTTCCAGCCATTTCTTCTTTTGACGACACCACATTGCCAAAGGTAGGAGGTAGAGTGGAATGCGTCTTGAAGTCGGATCAACCTGCACCGTTCCGTTCGCAATTGCCAGCAATTAGCGTAAGAACATTTCAGCTGATCGGTCGTTGTGCAGCTGGACACGCATATTTGTAGTTAGCTTTAACGTCTAGACGGGGCCCCAATTTCCAAGCGGAATGAGCAGTTCTTTCGCCGGGTAGCAAGGTCGCAGCTATTCCGGACGACGCGAGAGCTCAGGCTATGTCATATTTGGGTCGAATTTCTGTCAGAATCAGTCTTAGTAGGAACGTTTTGCTAGTTTCTCCTGGCACATCTAGGAAGACTCCTCCTAGCCCGTTATCGGCAGTTCGTATTATTTGATCGTAAATGCCATTCTGCTGCAGTTTTAGCTTAGGAGTGTTTGATTGCAGGTATGACAGGAGATCAACCGTGTTTTATTTTTGCCTACGACGCAAATCCACGCCTAACGAAACAGCGGCAGATTGGCCTGGTGAAGGCATTCCCAGTTGATTGAAAACTTTGCTCGTGATTTCTACGAACATATCCTCAATCATTATTAACGCCTCGTTGTAGATTTCTGCCGTGGAATCCACATTTGAATTTCCCTTGCGTAGTCGACGGAAGATATCTTCAGCCATGTGCGGTTTATATTTCTCCCATAATTCTGTTGGAGATGAAGGAGAGCAGGCGGTCAATATGATTACAAACACTTCACGAATTTGGTGTGAATGAGACGTGTTACACGCGTCACTAATGCATACATCCCCATGTCGGTCGTTTCCCATTAAGTTGAGTAGCATGCGTAACGCCGTTGACAGTTCTCAATTGCCGGAAAGACGATGGACCGGCACATTGACCAACAGTGTGCGAAGAAAGAAGCATTCGTCCCGATTGGGATGCACATTGTACAGTCTGCCTATCGCAGTTCCTTTGAATGTGCCGGGTCGTCCGTCGACTCGCTCTCCTTGTTTGCGTCGTCGGAAAGATTTTCTACACGCATTCCATGTGTAATAAGTAGGTACCTCCGAATATAGCATTGTTTTCGCAGACGCGTCATTTTGGCATAACGTGAAGAAAGAAGCTAATGTTGTTGCCGGTGGATTTAGGACAACCTGTTGAACATTTGCAACTGTAAAGTAAACGCGTTGCACATTCTCTAAATGTACTGCTAGGTGAACAACAGCTTGATTTCGTTCATGTATGGGGCGCACGTGTGTTTGAGCTGACGTTGGTCAAGTGGCTCGAGGGCGCAGGTGTGTCAGAGTGGATGCCAGTCAAGTGGCCACAGGCCGGCGCGTCTGCGAATCCCTCTCTACCTGCTTTTGCGCCCAGCAGATGGCGTTGTTAGGCAAAAAACATATTTTTACCCCTCACAGGCGTGCTGTCTGCATAATTATGAAGATAGGCATATATGAATCCGCCTCAATGTGTATGCAAGATTGTATCAAAATTTCAGAGAAATCGCCGCAGTACTTTCGGGGATTAGCGATTAGGAACAGACGGACATTTCCATCTTCATTTATATGGGCAATGTATCTTGTTAGTTTCCCAGCACTACTCATCCAAACCGGGACGACAATCGAATATGTATGTCCGTAAGGTTTATTGCTGTGACCTACCTCCTTATTTGATTTAGGTAAGCATGTTATGTTCTGGTTAAGTTTCTGGTTAAGCTTATGAAAATCACTAATTTTATGGTTAAAGCTAGGGTTTGGTTAAAGATTAGAGTTAAACAGAGGATTAGGATGAAGCTTGCGTACCAAATGCCATCTTACCCAGTCTGGACTTCGTTAGCCAATAACCTTGCATTAACCGTTTTCCACCCGCTTACGCGCCCATACGTTGTATATTTCAAGTTACGCGGTCCGTTCGGGCACATCGTTGGAGTAATAAAACAAAACGTATGGCAGAAATGCGAGTTTTTCCAATGCCTTCCGCAGATTCCGTTAATTGTCGCGCCCATTTGCCCTACTGGCAA